AAGAAGAAGAAGAAGAAGAAGAAGAAGAAGAAGAAGAAGAAGAAGAAGAAGAAGAAGAAGAAGAAGAAGAAGAAGAAGAAGAAGAAGAAGAAGAAGAAGAAGAAGAAGAAGAAGAAGAAGAAGAAGAAGGGGAGCTGTTATGTATAAGCTGGGTTGACAAGATCAGAAATGAGGAGGTGATAAGCCGCCTGGGAAAGCCAACGAAAATCATCAAAACAATTAAAAAACAAAAGTTAGAATATTTCGGACATGTGATGCGCCACCCAGAAAAATATGACCTACTCCATTGAATCCTCCAGGGAAAGATGGAAGGCAAACGAGGTCCAGGCAGAAGAAGAACATCGTGGCTTCAAAATCTAAGGGACTGGTTTGGACAAAACTCGGCAGCACTTTTTCACGCGGCTGCTGATTAAAAACAGGATTTTTTGCAGAAATGGCAAAAATTTCCGCATACTTGATCAATCTCAAGAAAAATTTATCTTGGTATGGAGAAGATGGATAGATTATATTAAGAGAAAGTATGAAGTGATTAAGTATCATATAGCTTTTGAATAAATATTTTTCTTCTCTAATATTTTTTATATATTTAATATAATTTATATATATATATATATTATATTCAAGTTTATTATTGTATGTTAGAGTTAAAGTATGTTAATTTTGTTTGTATTATGAATGGATAGCTTAATTTAGACTTGGGATGTTATGTATTTATCCCTGTACTCAGTTCTGGGAAGTCCGGGGGGGGAGGGGGGAAGGAAGGGGATGAAGGGGTAGAATTATAAAAATTTTTTGGTGCATTTATAAATGTAATGTAAATGTTTGTTTTTAAGAAGAGGAGATGATCGGCTAGTACCCCTAAACTGCATCCGAGGTGGTGGAAAAGAAGGTGATGGGATGTGTAGGATAGTTGGGAAGGAGGAAAGAGGAGAGGTCGTGGTCAAGAGGGGGAGGAAGGAAGAGGGAAGTAGGTAGGAAGGTGGAGGGAGTGTGGATGCAGGGGGGGGGGCGCCGATTATTTCTGAATACTTATTGAGTAGGCTTTCTATGTGTTTGTTTTTCTAATGAAATGCACCATATTTGTATTATTTGTTCGTATGTTTATTTGAAAAATTAATAAAAATTTGTAAGATCAAAAGCAGGATCGCCAACATGATCGCCAACGTCCGATAATGAATATGGCACAAGAAGAAGCAGCACTCTCTCAAATGCCTGAGTCACCTCCCTACAAATTGCCCATACAGGTAGTGCTGGACTTAACCCCTGTTCATTTCAGGATGGTTCCAAGTTACGACAGCCTTGGAAAAAGGGACTTACGACCCACCCAAGTTCCAACTGTCACACACACACACACACACACACACCCTTGTGTAATTTGTGACTTTCCCTGGCTGGCTTCCTCAAAGCACAGTTCTTTTTTTTTTTTTTATTGAAAAGTTTTATAAAAATTACAATATAAACCCCTAAACCCACCAACCCTAATCCCCCCCCTCTCCCTCCCCCACTTCCCAGAACTAAATACAGGGTTACAAATATAATAATCATAATCTAACTAACATTAACCAACTATATAAATAACCAAGTCCATAATGCGCTTTAACTCCCCTTTAAGATAAATATAATAATAATTAAAACATAAACAAATTAGTATCCTAATTATTAAACAACAGAATGTCCATATTGTTAAACCATACTAATACTAAAAGTAATAATAATATCATATAATTAAAACTAACAAAAATTTTCACTATAATAAACTATTAATACTAATAATACTCTAAAATTTACTCATAGACTAAATGGAACTTTTTAGTCCCATATTTGTTCTGAATATAATCTATCCATCTTCTCCCTCAAAGCACAGTTCTCGATTGGGAAAGACCCCGGCAAAAACGGTCATAAAAACCGGAGCTGGCCATGTGACAACTCACTTAACAGCCAAAATTCTAGTCGTAACTCGAGGACCAACTGTGTGCGTGTATCTGTACGCGGCGGTCATTCAGCCCAATCCTGGGGAAAATCTTAGGTTTTGTTGACTGATGCTCCTGAGTCTCTAAAAGGGGATTTGTCTCCCTGCCACACCCTCCTGCGTCGTGCGATGAGGGCCCCCACGTTCTACCTGGCCAAAGGAAGTGATCTAGTCACACCTAGAACCCGATCAAAATGGATTCACGTCTCTGACCGGCTCCACTTTTGACCCACTTGGGTTGAAATCTGGATGGAAAAAGTCTCCACCGATTTCTGTAAATGTCGGCTCGTTACCTGCTTTTTTCTCAACTTGGAAATCTGCTGTTCCACCATGGTGATCTCCCGGTCCACACGGTCCATGTTCTGGATCAGCTCCTCCTTGGAGAGCCGGGACGGGAGTAAATCCAGTTCCGAGTCAGGATGGGCAGAGGTAATGGGAGAAACGGGCTCCAGTTTACCGGGGATGCCTCGATCCTACAAAGGGAAAAGCTAAATGAGAAGAAAGGTGTTTCTTACCTGTCTAGGACAGGGCTTTTCAACCAGTGGTCCGGGTACCACCTGTGGTACATTGGCACCTGGCAGGTGGTACGTGAGCATCCTAGAGAAGTAGTAGCAGGGGAGGGGAATGAGCTGAACCGGTGGCAGCACCGCAGAAGCCTGAGTGAGAGACAGCTGGAGCTGCAGGGCTGTCAGGGCTCAGCGGAAGCGCCAGGATCAGCACCAGGCTCCAGCTGGAGCTCGGCGCTGATCCTGGTGCTTCTGCTGAGCCCAGAAGAAGCGTCGGTCAGCTGGAATGTTGCAGCCTCTCCAGGGTCTTGTGATTTGCATTCAGATGCTTGGCAACTGATTCATATTTATGACGGTCACAGTGTCCCAGGGTCATGTGAAGGGACCAAAACCTGCTGCAACCACCCAGCAGACGGGGGGAATAAAAACCAAACACCCCCCCACCCCACCCCCACTGCCAATCCTCAACAGAAATGCTCACAACAATGGAAACCTCGGACAGGAGGAAGAGCGCTGCTGGGTGGGCAGGCAGGTGTGTTGTTCGGCTGTGGCTTGGGGGGCACTTTTTTCAGTGCCATTGTAACTTCGAACAGTCACTAAGTGAACTGTTGTAAGTCGAGGACTATCTGTACTCCATCACTTTTTCCCTTTTTTGGGGTCATCAAGTTTTTACTAGGCGACTGGTGGTACTCAGATGTTGCCATATCCTAAAAGTGGTACAATGGGTGAAAAGGTTGAAAAGCCCTGTTCTAGGACACCTCTAGGAAAATGCACGGGAACACCCAAAGCTCCCGTTGTCTGAACGAAACCAAGGCATCTCCTTTGGGCCTATTGACTTTGGCCACTGTCCTTCCCTCCTCACCCTCCTCCTTTCTCCAGATGACTCCATCTGTAACCTTAAACCAGGGAGAGACGGGCCTGGCTGGCCCTCACAACATCTGCTTCCCACCAGGAGACCTCATCCAAGTTGGCCATCTCTACTTCTAAGGAGTGGGAAGGGAGACAAGACCTTCATTGTTCCGTAACAGCAACTGTCACTCTCTCTGTGTCCTCCAGAAGGACCCCCACCTTTATCCCCTCCTCACAACACAACTTCCTCTCTTTAGACAGCTGGCTGGGGGGGCGGGGAGGGGGAGGGTTGCCTTCTTTGAAGGAGCCAAGCCACTTCATCATTTTGGCAGGTCTCTGAACATCTCCGATGACCTATTCATCCCCCCCCCCCCTTCAACTCCAACGGCAGAAGATTTCGCTATCTCAGCTTCTTCCCAACTTGAAGCATGAGCAACCACTAACTCAGACAACCCATCAAACAGTAAACAACAGCTCCGTCAAGGAACCACCAGGAATACTCCCAACACTGACAGGGCAAACCATACATAAACACAGAGCAAACCCCACCAGCTTCTAGCGCCGATGATGTTACCTAGTTGGGTCACGAGGTTCCACAAGAAAATGACCAAGCTCAGAGAGCATCAAGAACTTCAGTTCTCCTCCTCCTCCTCTCCACAAACCCCACACCCTCCTAGCGCTGATGATGTTACCTAGTTGGGTCATGAAATGTCTGCAAGAAAACCACCAAGCTCAGAGAACACCAAGGACCCCACAGTCATTCTCCTCCTCCTCTTCCCCCCATCTCCTCCTCCTCCTCTCCACAAACCCCACACCCTCCTAGCACTGATGATGTTATCTAGTTGGGTCATGAAATGTCTGCAAGAAAACCACCAAGCTCAGAGAACACCAAGGACCCCACAGTCCTTCTCCTCTTCCTCTTCTACTCCATAAATCCCACTCCCTTCTAGCACTGATGATGTTACCTAGTTGGGTCATGAAACGTCTGCAAGAAAACCACCAAGCTCAGAGAACACCAAGGACCCCACAGTCATTGTCATCCTCTTCCTCCTCCTCCCCCTCCTCTCCCTCCATCTCCTTCTCCTCCTCTCCACAAACCCCACACCTTCCTAGCACTGATGATGCTATCTACTTGGGTCATGAAACGTCTGCAAGAAAACCACCAAGCTCAGAGAACACCAAGGCCTCCCCAGTCATTGTCATCCTCTTCCTCTTCCTCCCTCTCCTCCCCCCCCACCATCTCCTTTTCCTCCTCTCTACCAACCCCACACCTTCCTAGCACTGATGATGTTACCTAGTTGGGTCATGAAACGTCTGCAAGAAAACCACCGAGCTCAGAGAACACCAAGGACCCCACAGTTCAACCCCGAGCTTCAAATTGTTCTCTTCTCTCAGACTCATGACTATAACGGGTGGCCACCATTACTGTCGTAATTCGAGGACTACCTGTCCACCTTCTCTTCCCAGCTTACCCTGGAGAAGCCCTCTGTTCCTGCCTGGCTGAGCAGCGTCGGAGGCCTCAGCAGCGGCTCCTGTAACAGCTCCATCCGAGGCCTCTTGGTCTCAATAAACTCGATTTCCGAGGATTTGCTCAGATCAGAGAGATACGGATGGGACTCGGCCCGGGCGTGGGTCTCTTGTGATCTGCAGGGGAGAGAGAAAAAAAAGATCAAGGGTCCAGGAGCACCAATCCCATCTACTTTAAATGTTATTCTTTTTTTTTTTAGGCTGTTCCTACCAAGACAATCCGTAAGGCCGCCTTTAATCTTAAAAGAAAGCTTCCCCCCCAAAAAAACCCCAAAAGGCAATCTCCAAAGTCAAAGGAAGAAAGCAAAAGAAAAAGAAAATTTTAAGAAAAAAAAAATTCCTGGTGTTTTACACTCACCAATAATGGCTGGGCTCCCAAAGGAATCCAACCTCGTGGCAGAAGCAGTGCAAAATATTATTGTAATAATAATAATAATAATAATAATAATAATAATAATAATAATAATAATAATAATTATTATTATTATTATTATTATTATTATTATTATTATTATTATTATTATTATTATTATTATTATTATTATTATTTAAAAAAAAGTTGGAAGGGACCTTGGAGGTCATCTAGTCCAACCCCCTGCTCAGGCAGGAAACCCTATACCATTTTGGACAAATGGCTGTCCAGTCTCTTCTTAAAAACTTCCAGTGTTGGAGCATTCGCTGCTTCTGGAGGCAGGTGGTTCCACTGGTTAATTGTTCTAACCGTCAGGAAGTTTCTCCTTAGTTCCAGGTTGCTTCTCTCCTTGATTAGTTTCCACCCGTTGCTTCTCGTCCTGCCTTCAGGCGCTTTGGAGAATAGCTTGACTCCCTCTTCTCTGGGGCAGCCCCTGAGATATTGGAAGACTACTAACATGTCCCCCCTCGTCCTTCTCTTCATTAAACTAGACATACCCAATTCCAGCAACCGTTCCTTCTATGTTTTAGCGTCCAGTCCCCTAATCATCTTTGTTGCTCTTCTCTGCACTCTTTCTAGAGTCTCCGCCTCTTTTTTACATCGTGGTGACCAAAACTGGATGCAGTATTCCAAGTGTGGCCTTACTAAGGCCTTGTAAAGTGGTATTAATACTTCACGTGATCTTGATTCTATCCCTCTGTTAATGCAGCCCAGCACTGTGTTGGCCTTTTTGGCAGCTGCAGCACACGGCTGGCTCCTATTTAAATAGGACGTTGTCGCAAACTCTGCGGTACAGACGGTCCTCAAATTACAACTCTAAGCGAGCCTGGCAGTTGCAACCGGTCAATCGTGAGGTGTCGTAAAGCGGGTCGTCACGTGACCCATTTTATGACCCTTTTTTAAACAGCGGTCGTTAAGAAAGCCTGGCGGTTGTGAAGCCAATGCCTACGGTGGCCGAGACAACACAATGGTCCAATCCGAAGTAAACCATCCTTTTGAGCAAAACTGTTGTAACTGCAGCTGTGTGAGCTGTTGTTCAGCACGCAGAGTATGGTCCCCTGCCCAAGGGGGTGCTGGTGTGTGTGTGTGTGTGTGTGTGTGTGTGTGTGTGTCACAACTTCCGAACTCGGTCATAAATATCTTTTGGGAGGAAAATCTGTTGGAACCTCCCACGTGTCCCATCTTTTTCGTCTTACCTTTCATTTCCTGGCTGAAATTCGGATAATAAGGACGGCCTCCGGCGTTGGGGGTTTAAGAGAGACCCCGGGGGCAGGTGGGAAGGGTATTCCCGGGGATGGTGCTGATATTCCAAGAGACTCACATCCTAAAACAAGACGACACAAAACCAAGAATAAACCTTCAGGACGAAATCCTGTAGAGGCAGCCCTGGACTTCCAACAGTTCATTTAGTGACCGTTACACAACGTTACACAACGGCACTGGAAAAAAGTGACCTAGGACCATTTCTCACCCTTAGGACCGTTGCAGCCTCCCCCCGGTCAGGTGATTTACATTCGGATGCTTGGCCACTGACTCATACTTATGACCGTCGCTACATCCCAGGGGTCACGTGATCAAAATTTAGACGCTGACTCGTATTTATGACGGTCGCAGCGTCCCGGAGTCACGTGATCCCCTTTTGCGACCGTCTGACAAGCAAAGTCAAAGGGGAAGGCCAGATTCACTTGACAATTGTGTTGCTAACTTAACAACTGCAGGGATTCAGTGAACAACTGCGGCAAGAAAAGTCGCAAAACGAGGCAAAACATAACAAGTGTCTCACTTAGCGGCATAAATATGGGGCTCCATTGTGGTCAAAAGTCGAGGGCTACCTGTAGCGACAGCAGAGTCTTACGCATCTTCTTGCGACGGCTGAATTTATTAAAGGCAGTCCTCGACATACAGTCAAAACCGTTGTAAGTTGAGGACCGCCTAGGGCAGGTTCTCCAGATCTTGCCGAGCCCAAAGATGGCTTCCGTCACTGTAAGGATGGGCACTTCATAAGACCCGCCAATCCTCATGAGCACGTCTGATCCTCTTGGCCCAGGAGGAAACATTTATTTAGAATAGAATAACAGAGTTGGAAGGGACCTTGTGGGTCATCTAGTCCAACCCCACACTCAGGCAGGAGACCCTACACCATTTCTGACAGGTGGCCGTCCAGTCTCTTCTTGAAAGCCTCCAGTGATGAAGCTCCCACAACTTCTGAAGGCAACTTCTGCTCCACTGGTTGATTGTCCTCACTGTCAGGAAGTTTCTCCTTAATTCCAGGTTGCTTCTCTCCTTGATTGGTTTCCATCCGTTGCTTCTTGTCCTGCCTTCAGGCGCTTTGGAGGATAGGTTGACCCCCTCCTCTCCGTGACAGCCCCTCAAATACTGGAACAGTGCTATCATATTGCCTCTAGTCCTTGGGATTAAATCCATTTAACCAAATAACATAATAACAGAGCTGGAAGAGACCTTGGAGATCTTCTAGTCCAGGGGTCCCCAATCCCTGGTTCGTGGACTGGTACCGGGCCGCGGCATGCCAGCAACCGGTCCGCACAAACAAGGAAAGCCCCATCCATGGGATGCAGGCAACACACAAAACCACACAGTCTCTGGTCCATGGAAAAACCTCTCTCCATGGAGAGAAAGTTGGGGGCCACTGCCCTATATCACTTATCCTTGATCTTCTGCCCTGGCTTTTAGGTTCTTTTGGGAAAACAAAGCTGGCCAGAATATTTAATCCCCAGCCCACTTGGTTCCCCAAACTCTTCTCCTTCCACAAGGCCAGAACTGGAAACCGAGGCGTTGGGTTTTCTGTAACCTCCTGACTGAGCCTCTCCGGAGAAGCTTAGAGTGATGCAACGAGAGAGGAAACCCACAATTTGAGGAAACATCTCCATGTTAGCGCCATGGGAGAGTCTAGAGAACTTTGTGGTGCACACCGAAGGCTCCAAAATGTGTAACATCTAGGTCAAAAGTACTCAGAAAAAAAAGGAGAAGTAAGGAAAAACCCCTTGTCAACCACCCTTTGGTCAAAAAGGAGAAACTTCCTCAAAATTAACGGTCATCTGTAGAGTCAAAACCACATTGACTGTACCAGAATATTCTCCAGAAATTAACATCTTGGTTAATATTTCCTTCCGGATCTATTTTTTTTCCCCACATTAGCTTGGTTATCCCTGTTCTGCCTTCATTTCAAGGCACTATATTTGCATCTGGACCTCCTCCCCACCCCTAGATTCCCACTCCCACTGGGCCTGACCTTCAGGTCTGGATTTGAACTTGAGGTCCAACCCCGGGTTGCTTTAACTACACTGCCTGACAGAAACTAAACATCTTGCAAAACATGTGACATACCACTTCATGGCTGACTAAGCCATCAAGGGCTGGATTCACCCAATGTGCTAAACTAGATCAAGATGTTGAGACTCTAGAAAGAGTACAGAGAAGAGCAACAAAGATGATTAGGGGACTGGAGGCTAAAACATATAAGGAACGGTTGCTGGAATTGGGTATGTCTAGTTTAATGAAGAGAAGGACCAGGGGGGACAGGATAGCAGCCTTCCAATATCTCAGGGGCTGCCCCAAAGAAGAGGGAGTCAAGCTATTCTCCAAAGCGCCTGAAGGCAGGACAAGAAGCAACGGATGGAAACTAATCAAGGAGAGAAGCATCCTGGAACTAAGGAGGAATTTCCCGACAGTGAGAACAATTAACCAGTGGAACAACCTGCCTCCAGAAGCGGTGAATGCTCCAACACTGGAAGTTTTTAAGAAGAGACTGGACAGCCATTTGTCCGAAATGGTATAGGGTTTCCTGCCTGAGCAGGGGGTTGGACTAGATGACCTCCAAGGTCCCTTCCAACTTTATTATTATTATTAAGATGCATCCAATGTGCTAAACTAGATCAAGATGCAAGTGGACATAGACCACTTTGCTATTCAGTCAAGCCATTCCTTAATTCATACCGGTCTGAGATGATGTTCCCCAGTTTGGGTCATGAAACGTCTGCAAGAAAATAACCAAGCTCAGATGTCTATGGAGTTTCCCAGTCATTCCGGTCATGGTTGTCCCCAAAGGTGCATTTTCAAGAGGCAACTGGACTTTCTGGTTTTTCTTTGAAGACGTGTCTCTCATCCGCGTCCACTTTTAGTTTCCAAACCTTGCTGGCGAAGTCCTGTGAATTGCTGATGCGATGGGTGGTGTTGCCAACTAGAGGAGCTAATAATAATTTTAAAAAATCCTTCCATTGCGCCACCATCCAGTCAGAGCTGAAGGAGCTTCTTGGATGAGAAGCGAAAAGTCTTCAAAGAAAAACAAGAAAGTCCAGTTGCCTCCTGAAAAAACCACTTTTGGGACAACCAAGCTCAGAGAACACCAAGGACCCCTCGTTTCCACCCTGAGTTACAAATATTCTCTTCTGTTGGTACTGATGATGTTACTTAGTTGGGTAATGAGACATTTGCAAGCTAACAACCAAACTTGGAGAACACCAAGGACCCAACGGTTGAACCTTGAGCTACAAATATTCTCTTCGGTTGGTACTAACGATGTTATCTAGTTGGACAATGAAATGTCTGCAAGCAAACACCCAAGGACTCCATACTTGAACCCGGAGCTACAAATATTATTTTCTATTATTTGTAATGATGTTACCTGGGTGGGTCATGAAACATCTGCAAAAAAACCTCCAAGCTCAGAGAGCACCAAGGTCTCTTCATTTCAACCCTGAGCTACAAATTAAGTTTTATTTCTTAATTCGTAACACTCTCTGAGAGTGATTCTAAATGCTTGGAGATGCCACCTCATTCATCTCAAAAGCTTCCAAAGGATACCTTAGAACATAGAATCACAGGGCTGGAAGGGACCTCAGAGGTCTTGTAGTCCAACCCCTTGCTCAAGCTGGAGACCTTATACCATCCCGGTCAAGTGGTTGTCCAGTCTATTTTTGAAAAGGTCCAGTGATGGAGCACCCACAACTCCAGGAGGCAATTTCTCCTTACTTCTACGCTAGATCTCTCTTTGACAAGCTTCCACCCATGGCTTCTTGACCTGCCCTTCTGAGGTAGAGCTGAAGAACACAGTGTGGTGTGAACAGGGGAAGAGAGTCAACCAATGGCCAGCCACAAGACTTTCTCTGCTCAGTTGATACTCTGAACTCAACAACATGAACTCAAGCTTCCCCTACAGTTGTTGGACAAGGCCAACGTTTTTAATAAATCCCCGTCACTATACAGGGATCCTAAAGTGGATCCCTAAATCCCATCTGGGCCCCCATTAACTATCCATGGTGTCAACAAGGCTATAAGAAACACTTGGAGATTGACAAACCGTGTAAAGCCATCCAAGTAGGCTTCCAACTCTGATGAAGCCCATTTGTTAAAAAATTCATATCTCCCTTCTTCTACATCCGGGGGACGCGGGTGTCTCCAAACTTGGCAACTTTAAGACGTGGTATCCCAGAATTCCCTATCCAGCAAGGGGAACATCACCAGGATATATAGCTGGTAGAGGGATTCTGGGAGTTGAAGTCCACAAGTTTTTCAAGCTGACAAATTTGGAGAATCCCATTGTAGATTAAAGGCCCCGTTTCTTTGAATTTTGACAGTTCAGAAGGCTGCCAGCTGTTTCAAGGGCCACAAAACTGACCAGGGAAATTCCAAACAAGGTTGAGGAAATGGGGGGTGGGGGTGGATCTACGCTGCAGATAAATCAATACAATTAACAGCCAAATTCCCAGAAAAAGAAAAGAAGTTACTGGAGGGGGTGAACGATTAAGAATTGTTTTCCCGTCAAACTTTGGAGATGTGATCACTCTCCGTCATTATTCCACTTTTGAACTTGCTGTCCTTTATCCCCACTTTCAGTTTTTCAAGCTGTTTTGGAGTTCAGAGAGCGCTTAAGTTTGTGGGTTAACCATATTTCCTTATTCCTTTTTTTTCCCGACTACGACTGTGGGCCTTTTATTGAATTTTTTATCTTGTAATCCTGCCGGGAGTCAGAATTATTCAAATTCTAATAATAATACCTGGCACAGGGCCCTGCCTCTAAGATTCTTAAGTTCCCGTGATAAGGATTGCTTTTTTTTTCTTTTTCTTTTTTTCTTTTTTTCCTTTATTGAGCTCAGGGGCTATTTTGGGCACGTCTGACATAACAATGGGTTCTTTTTGATGTCTCTTTCTCTGGTCTCCCTTGCACACACACACACACACACACACACACACACACACAAGTCTTTCCCTTTAGATCTAGAAAGCAAAACAAGAAAACAAACATCCAGGCCCCAAGTTGAGGGCGATGAGGAAGGAAGGTGCAAGCACGCCCCCAGATGAGCAGATGAGCGTCAGTAATTATGGTTTATTTGATGCAGACTTTCTGCCTGCAAGGAGACAGTCTCTCTTCCGTGTTTGTGTGTGTGTGTGTGTGTGTGTGTGTGTGTGTGTGTGTGTGTGAGAGAGAGAGAGAGAGAGAGAGAGAGAGAGAGAGAGAGAGAGAGAGAGAGAGAGAGAGAGAGAGAGAGAGAGAGAGAGAGAGAGAGAGAGAGAGAGAGAGAGAGAGAGAGAGAGAGAGACCGAGACCTCTTAAGTGCATTTCCTTTTCCTGGCTGTCTCTGCTCTCCCTGACAAGAGAGAATTGCAAGATTTGAAAGAAATCTGACGTCAAATCAGCTGAGATGGGCTTTGGTGGCAAGCGCAGAATGATAGACCTCGTCCTTGTCAAGACTTTGCAACTTCTAAAAGGCACATGGGGAAGAGTTTAGATCAGGGCCCCCCAAGCCCAGGACCACAAATCACTACTAGGCCTTGAACCTTTCGGAACCGGGCCACAGAAGTAGTGGACGACCGTGCATGTGCATCCCCACTCGTGCGAGCAGCGGGCGAACGCGTCCGTTGGCGTGAGAAGTGGGTTCGTGTGCCCACTGCTCGGGTAAACGGAGCTGCGCACCTACACGCACGTGTCCGCTGCGCACGCAGAACCATCCCCTCTCCCCCACACACACACTGGTCCGTAAAGCCAAAAAGGTTGGGGAACTGGTCTTGACAATTCACCAAGGCCAGCTCGTCAAAGCAAAACTTGCCACAGCCAACCAACACATTGCGGGACAACTCAACAGGCCCAACTCACGGCAGGACAAGAGACACACTAATGTCGAAGAAGTGGTGGCATAGGACCATGAAAGAAAGGATGCCGAAGGAGGGACAGAATGAAAAGGGAATGGCAAAAATTAAAATCATTTTTCTTTATTTGTAAATAAATACCTTTTAAATAAAAAAAATATTTAATTTTTTGTATTTATTTTCTATTTTATTTATGTTTAAATTGGATGGTTGAACTGTCCCGTGGCGAGTTTGTCTCTAAGANCGCTTCACAGTGCTTTATAGCCCTCTCTAAGCGGTTTACAGAGTCAGCATATTTGCCCCCAACAATCTGGGTCCTCATTTTACCGACCTCGGAAGGATGGAAGGCCGAGTCAACCTTGAGCCAGTCAGGATCGAACTCCTGGCAGTGGGAGGAAGGAAGGAAGGAAGGAAGGAAGGAAGGAAGGAAGGAAAGAAGGAAGATAGCCCTTAGATTTATATACCGCCCTCCCTAAGCAGAGTCAGCCTGTTGCCCCCCCCCCAACAATCTGGCTACTCATTTTACTGACCTCGGAAGGATGGAAGGCCGAGTCAATCTTAAGCGGGTGAGAATCGAACTGCAGGCAGTGGGCAGAGGGAAGGAAGGAAGGAAGGAAGGAAGGAAGGAAGGAAGGAAGGAAGGAAGGAAGGAAGGAAGGAAGCCCTTAGACTTATATACCGCTTCACAGTGTTTTACAGCCCTCTCTAAGCGGTTTACCGAGCCAGCCTGTTGCCCCCCCCAACAATCTGGGTCCTCATTTTCCCAACCTCGGAAGGATGGAAGGCTTGAGCCCTGTCAGGATTGGACTCCAGGCTGTGGGCAGAGTCGGCCTGCAATGCTGCACTCTAACCCCTGCACCACCAGGGCTCCTACAGCCAGGTTTCTGAGTGAATCACTGCGGTTGTTAAGTGAAATCACACAGTCACTGAGCAAATCTTTGGCTTTGCTTGTCGGAAGCTGGCTGGGAAGGTCGCGAATGGCGAATCCGTGGCCCCGGGCTGCTGCCACCATTGGTAAAACCATCCTGGTTGCCAAGCACCACAAATTCGCACCAGGTGATCATCTCCTTTGCAAAAACCGCCGCCCCAAGGCTCTAGTCCTCATGACCCAAAAAGCCCACTCTGAGAGAGGACACTCACCACGTGAGGCTGATTTAACGCCACGGGGTAGGACATAGCGTGAGAAGGGTAGTGGGTCTCTGCCCCCCGCCAGGTCTGGGCTGCCGGTTGCGTAGATCCAGCCATTGCCAAAGGGGGGGTCAGTCTTCTTTGGGGGATCCCTCCTAAGAATCAGCGATGTGATGCACTAAGGAATCCCGGAGTTCGGACCCATGATGCTCACCCAAGGCATGTCACGTTGTGCCTGTAAGGGAAACAAAGGCAGGCTGGATTAGAGTCCCGTTGAAAAAAAACAAGGGGTGAGTTTGAGACAATTAAATGGGTGGGTACCCCCTCCCACAAAGGAGATCCAGCTTTAATTCTGTATATTTCTGTATATTTTTTTATGCTTTTTAATATATTTTTTTCTACTTAAAATTGGTTTTAATCTTCAAAATAAGAAGGAAAATGACATGAAAAACAACCAAGCAACATTTAAAAAATTCACTACAGCAAACATTCTACAACGTAAACGTTTCTTCATTAACAATATTGTTGCAGGGCGTTTCACATTTGCAACGTTTGATTAGAGTGTAGAATAAAATACAAAAACACAAAAATACAAAAGCGAAGATAAGAAGATAAGAAGAGATGAGATGAGATAAATAAGATGATAAGATAAGATAAGATAAGATAAGATAAGATAAGATAAGATAAGATAAGATAGGATAGGATAGGATAGGATAGGATAGGATGAGAGGAGAGGAGAGGAGAGGAGAGGAGAGGAGAAGAGAAGAGAAGAGAAGAGAAGAGAAGAAGAGATAAGAGATAAGATAAGAGATAAGATAAGAGATAAGATAAGAGATAAGAGATAAGAGATAGGATAAGATAAAATAAGATAAGATAAGATAAGAGAAGAGAAGAGAAGAGAAGAGAAGATGATGAGAAGAGAAGAGAAGAGAAGAGAAGAGAGATGAGATAAGAGATAAGATAAGAGATAAGATAAGAGATAAGATAAGAGATAAGATAAGATAAGATAAGATAAGATAAGATAAGATAAGATGATGAGGAGAGGAGAGGAGAGGAGAGGAGAGGAGAGGAGAGAAGAGAAGAGAAGAGAAGAGAAGAGAAGAGAAGAGAAGAGAAGAGAAGAGAAGAGAAGGATGCAGTGGGGAGGGGAAAGGAGGGGAAAGTGAGGGGGAGAAGGAAAAAAAAAAGAATGGAAAACACACTGACTTCCGACTTCCTGTTGCAGTAGAATGAAGCATTAACATCGGATCTCCACTTTTTACTTTTCCAAAGTAGTATAAACTAGCCATTTCTATCACAACAGATCCATCTAGCCAGTAAAACCCAAAATCAAAGTTTTATATTTTTTTTTCCACCTTAAAACACAAAGTCCAGAAGCAGGCTCCAAAACTGGAAACAGAAGTTTACTTATATTCTGTTCTTTAATCAAAAGGGTCCATTTAGCCGTCTCTGCCAACCCCATCATCCATAGTGAGAATCGAAATGTCCTTCCATTTTTGTGCATACAATAAATAGTCTTGCTGCCGTCGACGTATGTAAGATCAAAGTTCCAATTTTTTTTCCCAAAGTCTTTTTCCATTTTAAGGCCGTAAGAAAAGTTTCTGGTGTTATTCTTTACTTTTAAGAATGTTCTGTATTAAGGCATGAATCCTAGTCCGATAGGTCTTTGCTTTATTGTACGTCCACCATAAATGATAAAAGGTGGCAGTCAGAATTTCCATCACTCAGCAAAACTGGGTTGGGAAGTCAGGCCTGGGGTTACGACCTGACTTTGCCACGGTTCTTAAGCGAATTACATGACTGTTAAGTAAATCCGGCTTCCCTCATTAACTTGGTTTGTTGGAAGCCAGCTGGGAAGGTTTGCGAATGATGATTGAGACTAAAACATACGAAGAGACTAAAACATACAAAGAATGGCTGCAGGACTTGGGTTTGGCTAGTCTAAAGAAAAGAAGAAATAGGGGAGACGTGATAGCAGGGTTCCAGTATTTGAGGGGCTGCCACAAAGAAGAGGGGGTCACGTTATTCACCAAAGCACCAGAGGGCAAGACAAGAAACAATGGTGGGAAACTGATCAAGGAGAGAAGCAACCTGGAATTAAGGAGAAACTTCCTGACAGTGAGGACAATCAACCAGTGGAACAGCTTTGCCTCCAGAAATCGTGGGCGCCCCATCACTGGAGGTTTTTAAGAAGAGACTGTCTGAGATGGTATAGGTCAGTGGTGGCAAACCTATGGCACGGGTGCCAGAGGCGGCACTCAGAGCCCTCTCTGTGGGCACGCGTGCCGTCGTCCCAGTCCTAGGCCTTCAGCTGGGTTTTATAAAACCTTTTCGCTTTAGGCCTCCGCCGCCATGTGCCCTCCCCCCCAAAAAAGGTTCAATCAGTCAATTTCAACTTCTCGCGGGGAAAAAAAGATCTTGCAAAGTTGGAATTGATTGATTGAACTTTTTAGTCCCACCCAGTCTGCCGTTACCACCGGCACTCGACAATGCATAAGTGGGTTTTGGGTTGCAGTCTGGGCACTCAGTCTCTAAAAGGTTCGCCATCACTGGTATAGGTTCTCCTGCTTAAGCAGGGGGCTGGACTAGAAGACCTCCAAGGTGCCTTCTATTCTATTCTATTCTATTCTATTCTATTCTATTCTATTCTATTCTATTCTATTCCTATTCCTATTCCTATTCCTATTCCATATTCTAGTCTAGTCTATTTCTATTCCTTATTCTATTCTATTCCATATTCTATTCTATTCCATATTCTATTCCATCCCATCCCATCCCATCCTATATAAACGTCTCTAAATCAAGCCTGTTCCCCCCCCGCCCCCCACCCCTTCATCCACTGCAGCATTGAACTATTTCCTTGCATGGTTTCCAAAAGGGAAGAGAAAAAGGAAGTTGAACCTGCCACCAACAGAATTCGGCTTCCTCAGAACTTGCTCCTAGGATTGCATAACAAAAGGACTCTCTGCAAACTGTCCCCAGGTTCATTCTTCCCCCTGCCCAACCAGGAAAGGGTTGGAAAAAGTTGCCTCACCAGTTGAACCTTCTGCCTGTTTCAAGAGCTTTCTCTGTAGTCATTTCAAACCCTTCCCCCCCCCATCCTTTACAGACTTACACCCGTTTGTTGAGCAACCTTTCAAAGTTACCACCGCACTGGAAAATAAACAACTTATAACCGATCCTCAAACTTATGACCGTCACAACACCCCTGCAGTCACATGATCACCACTTGCGAAATTTCCAAGCCGGCTTCCAACTGGTAAAGTCACTGGGGACGCTGTCACGTTTTGCTTAATGACTGTGGGTGATTCTCTGAATGATCTCAACCGTGGCTGCCAAAACTGCCATCGTTAAGCTGAGCGGTGCTTAAGAACTGCTTCATTTAGTTGGTGCTTCTGCGAACTCAACCAATGGGGGGGTTTGTTCTACAAACCACAATAAGCAAGCCACGGTTTAGGCCAGCGAGCAGAGCCCGCCCAGGAACAGCTGAGACATCCATCAAGCCGGACCCTTGAGTTACGACCCTCCCATCTTTGCAACTGCTACAAAGGGACTACACAAGGATCATGCATCCCTCCCCGTTAAACCTGGATGGTTTAACGGGGATGATGGAAGGCGAAGCCCAACCCAGGATGGAGAGAGAATGAAGGTTGGGGAAAGCATCGAATTTACAAACCCGGTTTAAGCTCGTGTTTGTGAACCTTGGAAAACCTGAGAACGGGAGGACCGAAACTCCAATCTTCAAAGTCGACCAACCCTGGTTAAGGGTTTAAAAAACACATTTGAGTACGCCCTGGCAGAACTAAAAGAGGAATACAGTTAGTCCTCAACTTATAACAGTTTGTTCAAAGTTACAATGGCACCGAAAAAAAGTGACTTAGCACCATTTTTCACGCTTGCGACCGTTGCAGCCTCCCCGTGGGTCACGTGATCAAATTTCAGCTGTTCGGCAACTGACTCGTATTTATGA